CTTTTGCCCCAGTGGCTGTCATCTGCTCCTCCAGTCTTGTTGCAGCAAAAGTAGAAATGAAGTTTTCCTTCCCCTGAGAACAAGGAAAACAAAGGGAACAGCGAACAGGCTAGAGAAGAAACATAACCTGGCCTGAAAGTGTTCATCACTCCTTGTTTTACTTTGTCACTCATCTGTAATAACTAGATTTGTACTTTTCAAAGCTAACCTCACTCCCTGACACTATGTAATTTACATTTAGCACCCATCACCCCTGACTCTGTGTGAGTTACATCCCCTGCCTCTCACTCCCTAACCTTATTATATCCAGCACTTACATTCTATTCGCCCCTCATAACAAATCACCCCCTATAGTTTTTGCATTTCAGAAACGAGGTCACCGCCGATAAACCAGAGGCAAACGTATGCAATTACCAGACTGCTGGACCCCAATTACCAGGCGGCCTGATGCCAGCTATGACTGTTTTGAAATAATACAAAGGAAAGGAAGAATGCAAGACCTTCACTACTTTTATCCTCATCCTATACGCCGGACTGCGAGAGCCGCACGCATAAAATTTTCCCTGAATCTCAAGGAGGGGGGGAGTGCCCAGTTCTTGAGGTGCTAGCCAGCTGTGGCTTTCCTTCTGCCTGGCAGAAACATAAAGCCATCTCTCTCTTCCTCCAAAATCCCTGTCTCCGTATTTCTGTTTGGCCTCGGTGCACAGGGAAGCCGAGATTTCGACAACAGTCTGTGGCCAGTTCCCACACTAATTGCCCTCTACGCCCACAGCCCTGGCCCAAGCCCCATCTTGTGCCTGGTTCCTCCATCAGGCCTGACAAAGCTCCCTGCCCGCACGGTGCGTCTCACATCCCACCCCCAACCTGGTCTTTCTGAAGCATAAACGAGACTGACTCTCTCCCGCCTGTAATTCCCCAAATGTTTCCCCACTTTCGCTAGGGTATCTGCCGGGAGAGACATCTGCCAAGGCCCTGAGAGTCCCCGGCATCCCCACTAGGCTGCTGGCTCCTGAGTTCCCTGACAATGAGCACCTCAGCAGGCCGGGCGACACGGCAGGAAACCCCAGAACTGCTCACCTCAGGACTGGGCCGGCACTGCCACGGCCTGATCAGAGACAGCAGAGAAGCGGTCCCCAGCTGGGACACAAACTCTGCATGAGTGGCCTCTCCTTGAGCCATTACATCAACTCGTGTGACTTGAGGGAAGGAAGGACCGAAGCACACTTGGTTCCTAAGGAGGATGGTATAGGCTCAGTCACGTCCCTCCAAATTCACATGCTGAATC